CTCGACCCGGCCCGGGCGGACCGGAAGGAAGGCGCAGCGGACCGGATATAGTCTGGCCAGCCAAACCTTGTGCGCGTCTGGCGACCGACTGAGGACCGGAGCGCGCTCCGCTCTCCGCCGGGCTGCTCCCGGCCCGGCGCCCGGCGGGGCTTCGGCCGCCGAGCCCAGCCGAGCGGGCATTCGGCTCGAGCCCGGCGGGGTGGGGGGCTCCCCCCCCTCTCCCTCCCTACTCCCCCCGCGCCTTCCCCCACCCCGCCGGGCTCGAGCCGAATGCCCGCTCGGCTGGGCTCGGCGGCCGAAGCCCCGCCGGGCGCCGGGCCGGGAGCAGCCCGGCGGAGAGCGGAGCGCGCTCCGGTCCTCAGTCGGTCGCCAGACGCGCACAAGGTTTGGCTGGCCAGACTATAGCAGCGGGAGTTAGTCTCATTTCCGACGTAGTTGCCGTTTGCTGCATTATTTCACCGATTCACACACGAGCGCTGTCACATCTCGGCCACGCTTCTTGAAGGAAAGAAACCGACAAACAGATCAAAGAATTTAAAATTTTATTTTGACAGAGTTTGTATTTGGAAGCATATTTTGAGAACACAGAAAACATTACTTTCGGTGCAAAGTCATAAAATGTCGTTACTCTTTCCTGCTGTTTGCTATCTCTCATCAATCCACCACACTTCATAATCCCTTCACCTGCATCCAGGCCCCTCTACTCTTTGACATAGAAAAAAATAGACAACGCTTGTATTTATATGCATTGCGGAAGCCCCACATAGCGTTAGCACCATACATTAACTTTACCCCATACATTATGAATTGTCTTTTATGATTTGGATATTATCTTAGGTTTAGTCAGACTTAAAATAACGTTGATCATAGATCAAATGTTAATAAGATCACAAATACAAATACTCTTCCTGTCAATTGAAATAAAGTGTGACACCATGGTAGTCACAGTGCCTGGACGTCCACAAGAAATTCAAAAGGTGCAATCTGGAAAGTGTATTAAACTAAGACAAGACATGGTGTCACTGAGCTACTACATGCAGGGAAAAAAATTAATAATGAATGCATACTTCAAGAATCAAGTGTTGAAGCATCACCTACACCCAGTCCATCAATCAGTTGAGAGGGTGATGTACGTATGCATAACAATACAATAACACAGGTCATAAAAAATTTTGAACTAGAAATGTAAAACACAGCCTGTTACAACTATAATGTCTGTCCAAAAACCAAGGACTGGCGAGTGTGACTTACAAACTCATTGCACCTTGTGTGTTTTATATCTCTAGTCCTAACAATTAACATTTGTTACATTTTCTTAAAACTCAGGTCAAACTCAAAATAAATGGTTATTATGTTAAATTGGTCATGGAGCATAATTATAATAAATGAAACCAAACAGGACTTTCCTAATTTAACAAAAAGTATCAAGCTTAACAAGGCAAAAGTCCTTTAACAAACAATTGGTGACACTACTCCTTCAAGATTTGGTTAGAAATACTACACATCATAACATAAGTTACGTGGTAAGAACCATACTATGCAGGACATTCAAAAGTCTTTCTTTATATGTATAAACCATTAACAAAATTTACTCAACACTCAGGAACATCTGCAACAATTTGGCATAGTTGTTAGGTATATAAACTTCGGCTAGACGTAAAGAAAAAAAAATGCATTTGTGGAATCTATGCAGTACATCATCTTATGCAGGATATCAAAGAACCCAAGTGAGGCTCAAAATTTATTGATTGAAAAATTTCAAGCGTTGAATAAGATATGGATGAATAACCACTGGATGTGGGTGCTGCATTATCAAAAATGTACTAATACAAGAAGAGACCTTCAATGTGAACACATATATTACTATTGAGGAATGGCAGTGGAAAAAAACATTGCGGTACTTCTAGGATATTGACCAACACCACACAAATGAGATACAGCTTGGAAGTGACATACATCTGACAGGTTACACATTTTTTCAAGTCAACTAGATGGTCTTTGGCAACCAAAATTTCATTTCAAAAATGCAAAATGGTCATCAAAAATAATTCATAAGTGATCACAAGGAGATAATTTAGATACATAAGGGGAGGGGTGAAAAATTGAGCTGTTTGAGTAGAAAACATACAATTGATGTTGTTAACAAAAACTATGGATTTTGGACCACGTACGTGAGCTAAAAAACTTAATGCATGAAATGACAAGTTAAAGTATGCTCCCAGAAGCTATTCAAGCATCATTTAAACTCATTAAACAAGGTAAGCATTGTTTGTTAGAAAAACAGATTAGATTTGGGATGCATTAGGAAGAACTTTAACACACGTATTACATGCAACTGGTTGAATAACCATGAAAGGTAACAGTAGTACTCCCAGCATTAGTACGAAGGGTAAAAATAATGTTAGGGTATCCTTATAGGTATTCATGTACTGAAATATAGACTAGGGTTATAAAGTGAAATATTGTTTGTTCACCGTCATCGTTCTGCCCCTAGCATGCATTCATTGCATTCATTTGTGCTTCCTTGCTTGTACTGACTCCTCATAAATCTCACATTTGAACTTAATGTATCTTACAAACAAAGCTTATACAATAACTCTTTCCAAAAGGATGTGTCATGAACAGTTTGCTCCTTTATCAAATGGTAACTATTTTACCTTATCTTGAACAAACAATATCTACCATACCGCAAAATATATATAAAAAAAGAAAAGAAAATTAAAAATGAACACTTAGACCCCTTTCCTAACTGAAAAGAGGCTTAGAAATACTTCACAACCAGGTAAGACAAAAGATCACAAAGCAAAATGAGAAAGCTTTCTCAATTCTGCATCAATAATAATGTTTTAACTCTCATTATACAACACCCATAATTAAAGCTATAAATCTCTGATTTAAGTTACATTCAACAGGGAAAATTGTAGATGGTTCACGAAAATATGATACACATAGACATTGCAAGATTTTTAGGGAACCCCTGTAATCTAATACAGAAAAGGCTATGCAGTGGTAGGGAAAATTGGGAAAATGCAGGGGGGGGGGGGACGGGTGGTCTTAGATTAAATGAATACTGCCAAAGACGCTGTTGCTATTGCTGTGCAAGAAAGCACAGCAAGATAAAGAAGAGACCATACAAGATATATAACACTATACAGCTAAAAGATTTTTTATATTCTTTGGTGTTCCTTCCTCATTTAAATGTTTGGTGGTGTACCTGCAATTGCAAAGAGTGACCATTACATACAAGATAAAATAAAATATGCATTGCTTCGTATCTCTTAGTCTCATTTAACATAATGCCTCCAAGTTGATAATAGAGAATTTACCTTAAAGCGTTCAAGAGACCTTCTGACCTTGCAGCTGGTTGATCTTTGAGCAGCTTCACACATCCTTTCACCTATAAGAGACACATTTACATTATATTTCAATGTGAAAGACTTATTTTCTTCAAGTTCAAATCAATAGTTGTTGGCAAAATAAGGCTTTCTTACATCGACATTTGCAGCTTTTACAAATGCTCCATTTGGATGAACATGGTCATATAAAATAACCAATCCAACCATGACTCTCAGAACAAACAACTGTGTTTCTTCTCGCTGAAACTGTGAAATGATATTCCTGAAAAGATTTTTTAGTTTTAAAAACCCTGCTAGAGAAATTTACTGGTAAAATTTTAATTTATTTAGATAAAGATAATGAGAACATACGGGCTTTCTAGCATCCGCAAGCACACCTTGGCCATTGTGCTCAAGGTCTCTGTTGTGTTTTCAATAGGTATGTCCGAGTTCTAAAAATTAAATTGAAATGGCAGGTTTTGCATTATACTTCAATTGTAGGGAACAACCAAATTAATATAAAATATTTACTGACCTGGGAAACAAATCTAGTAGTTGCTTCACTCAGTGTTCGCAGCATAGGTGTTGCATGGGCATAGAAAAGTGACATATGGTTTGCCAGTTCATTGGACACCTCCCTTTCATCTACGTCACTAATTTCACTGCATGCCAAGCTGGATAGACTTGACATTCTCTGTCTTGTTAAAGTGCGACGATAATAACTGAAATCATTTTGTATTGCTGGTGTTTTCATCTAAAATATGGAAAAAAATAATTCCAGATTAAAAGACTTATTAAAAACATCTGACAGATTCAGAAAATAAAACCAGACAGCCAACCTTATGTTCATCAAATTTAAGAACAAATTCAAGTATCTCGGCAAACTGCTTCACAAGAGCCTGTTGTGTCTCAAGATGTTGAGTGGGGACCATAGGACCAGAACACAACTGGAAGAGGATTTTGGGAACAACAGCATCTACAAAAATGAATGGAATAGGTAAAATAATGTTTCATTTAAAATTGAAAAAGTTGAAAGTCAAATATTACTCACCCAGCTCCAATGAAAACTCATAAAATCTTTTCAGTTTTGACACAAGAGGTAAAACTGCAGACCAAGCTTTAGTTTGATATTCGTCACTTGGATTTGCAATGGCTTCTCTAATTTCTCTGCCAGCTCCTTTGTAGCATTGAATTTCATTCAAAATGGCTTCAGAGTTACGCAATACCTGCTGCACTTCCTCGAAAGTTTCCCGCTCGCTTTCAGTAGGTTGAGCATCTGATATTATATTTAA